CGTGCGACAGTATTATTGCCCTTCACACACGTAGACCCCACTTCGCTGCCTCAGTGCATTGCCCTGCGTATATTCCATGTATTTGAGCTATTTGGACATGTGTCTTACTGCAATGCTTCTCCGCTTGCGTAAAGCTAACTGTGTGTGCCATATAGATACCTTGCCAGTTAACTAGACAGTAACTTCCCCACTTCAAAGAACTTTTTTCTGTCGCCGAATAGGTATTGCGTCATCGTTTTTCAACGCGTGTGTAATTTCTGTCCATAAATTAGGTGTGGTTTGTCGGTTCTCTTTGCGCAAGCTGCGTTTTTATAACCTCATACGAAACCCGAATCGAAGCATTTATCTAGAATGCTGCCTAAAATCGAAGCTGGATTTGAAGAACTTCCTATAAAGCTTCATCAGGAAGTTGGTTTTGATAGTCAGAAAGAAGAGACAGTGCACTTATCTGACTTTCCCTCCCATACCAGCCGCCAAGTTGGACGATGCATACAAGCACCCAAGAGGCGGACTGTTGCAATTTACACGCGACTTAATTCGTTCCACATGATTCATCACCTAACGACCTACTGAATTTTGTTTCTCAGCACAAGGGTGTGAGGGATTCAATTAAGGTATGGAGAGAACAAGAAAAGAATTCGAAAGCTACAAATGACTACCCTTCATGTATTTTGTGTAGCCGAGAGCATCCTGGATAGCAGCGCTTTTGCAATGCTCCACAAGGAAATTGTTTTCTCTGGCTTTTGTCATAGTTCGTGTTCAGTACCATCATCCCCTATTTCCCTGAACGCTTTTTTTAATCGCCTAAGCTACCAGGTCTTTAAAATCGTTTGCAGTTATTCTCATATGATACTACGATTTCATTTAAGTTCCTTCAGCCCCCTGGCCCTGTGCACAGACCGGCCTTCGTTAATATATTGTTCCTGCTTCCAGGCCTATGGTCAAGTTCGTCGGCGACCTCAAGAATCACCTTACCTTTCCATTTACCAGTGTCAGCTCTTTGCTTGTAATATTTCCCACAGATTATTCACAGTAAAATATTATAATTCTACTCACAGAACTGGTAGTCAGCTGACGACGCTTTAGGCAGGGAAAAAAAGCAATGGAATCTGAGTTTAATTTTTGCATGGCGATTCGAACCCCAAAATTCCATCCGGGGCATGTCTTTCGTGCAAATAACAATACAATACAATATACGATCATATAAGTAGTATTCCGTTTTCCCGGCTTCAGCCAGGGCGTAAAATCAAAATGTCATTTCAGCGCGAGCAGTCGTGATGCGTAACCTAACGCTATCTACCCTTTCATGTTTTTTCATTTACAAATCAGCGTTACACTGGGTTTTTTTTTTCAAATCAGTCAGCTTATCTTACCTTTGCGTCGTCTATACAGTGCACATTAGTTCCGCCGACTTAAAAAATGTACTGCATAAGTGTCTGGGCAGCTAGGTTCATGGCGACGGACGTATCGTTCGCGTGGTAACTTTCTGCTAGAAAGGGCATAATTACCACGATTTTAAATATGCTGTTCTGGTGTAGTTTATCAAATTACGGACAAAGAACACTGGCTCTCCAGAGTTGCCTGATAAGCAGAAACACTTTTATTAAACAGCTGCCATCTAGAATGCTGTTTCGCTGCTGTACAGTTTGGATTGTACTCTAAATAACTGTTTTGTTGAATGCCTTTATGCGATTTTTGTCTGAGATCAACTGTAGTAACTTTCTGTGTGCATCTTTTGCTGTGGGTTAAGTCTCCGGTGCAGTATTGACCAGAGTAAAGCCAAAGTGATTTCGATTGAACATTATGTAGCCCATGCATAGCTTTACGCTAGCTTTTCAGACGAGGTGCACTGAGAATTGCGATACAGTTCCCAGAGTGGTGGCAAGTGCAACGAATGAGTGCTTTACGACACAAT